CTCGGTGATTTGTCCTCTGGACGTTTTCCTAGTCTCAAGGCTGGACCCTCAGCAGCTGCATCTCTACCCCCTGACTCTGCCTCTTAGGCCACACCTGGCTGACCATGGGGTGTATACCTGACCCACACTGGGTTGGTCAGATTTTTTTCTTTTTCTCCCAAGAATTTGGAATTTTGAATTGAAAAATAGGGAATCATTGTAGCTGAATCATATTAAATCCATTAAGTACAGCTGAGGTCTCCAAAACTGCTTGGGTTCCTATTCCTCTTGAGATTTGTTAAACTCTTTTTTGGGCTTTGCTGTCATTTCATCTTAGATTAAAAATGAAATTGAACAGATCTGTTGGTAATGTACAAAAATAATTTCCCTACTTCAAATCTTAGAAACTTTTTCAAAAATGATGTTTCCAAGTAACCTATTGTGCAAAATGGCTTTTGACATTGAGGTTAAATTTTAACACTAAAATCAATTTATTGCCAGTTGGAAATGGAAAGAGCCCAGGGGAGAGAGGAGTTTACATATGACGTATTTTCAGGAGAGCTTTTGAATATGGCATGTCCTCTTAAGTTTTTTCCAACGAGATATGCTTGTTCTAGTCCAGTGATTTTCAGTGGATGTTAGTCAAGCAGGTGCCACCTCCTTAGAGTGCATTTTGGAAAATTGAGAGTGTGCTGTGATCACCACGACTTGGGATGCTACTGGCTCAATACCCAAAAATGTGTGAGACAATCCAACTCAATGAGGGTTTGTTTTGTGCCCCCCCCCACCACACACACACATACTCTAATGCTGCTACAAATATAAATGGGTAGTGTTATAGAGCATATTAATACTGGGAAATCTTCATGAAAAATTAAACAAAAAGCTTAAGCTAGAAGAAAGTTGTTTTCGTTTTCAGTTGTTGCATAACAGAGTAACACAAACTCAGCAACTCAAAACAACATTCATTGGTTAGCTCACAGTTCTATAAGTCAGAATCTGGGCTTTACTGGGTTGTCTGTTCAAGGTCTCACAAGATTAAAATCAGGTTTCAGCCGGGCTGACTTGTCTCTTATCCAGAGGTTCTGGGGAAAAAATCCATTTCCTTATAGGTCTGAGGTCCACATTTCCTTGTTAGCTATCAGCTGGAGATCACTCCCAGCTCCTAGAGGCTACTTTCTAGTCCTTACACATGGCCCCCTCCAACATCAAAGCCAGCAACGGTGTGCTAAATTCTTCTTGTTCTTTCTTTCTTTCTTTTTTTTTTTTTTGAGACAGAGTCTCGCTGTGTTGCCCAGGCTAGAGTGAGTGCCATGGCGTCAGCCTATCTCACAGTAACCTCAAACTCAAGCTATCCTACTGCCTCAGCCTCTCGAGAAGCTGGGACTACAGGCATGCACCACCATGCCTGGCTAATTTTTTCTATATATATTAGTTGGCCATTTAATTTCTTTCTATTTATAGTAGAGACGGGGTCTCACTCTTGCTCAGGCTGGTTTCGAACTCCTGACCTCGAGCAATCCGCTCACCTCAGCCTCCCAGAGTGCTAGGATTACAGGCGTGAGCCACCACGCCCGGCCTTCTTGTTCTTTCAGTACTCTGACTTCCCCTTCTGCCACCAGCCAGAGAAAAACTCTTTTTGAAAGGGCTCGACTGATTGCGTTATGTTCACCCATATAGTATCTGTATTTTAAAATCAGTTGACTTCAGATTTTAATTACATTTGCAAAATTCCTACATTGCAGTACCTATATTAGTGTTTGATTGAATAGCCAAGGAGCAATAATCTTGGGGGATCATCTTTAGAATTCTGCCCTACCATTGTTGAATTGTAGAATTCTCCTGCCATTGTTGGTATGAAGAGGGAGGCTTAAGTGAAACAAAGCTATTTTCTCAAAATAATTTATTCACTCTGCACATTATGTTCTGTAAATATTACAGCATTTCCAACTTGCATTTTTAGTTGAAAAGGATTTCAGTGCAGTAGTGTTACTATTGCAAAAGCAATGAAAGTGATTGATAATTTATAACAGGAGATTTGAGATTCTTGTTGAGACTTCGATTATTAAATTAATGGAGACACATAAAATGTAGGGATCTCTCTGAATTTCAATATAGACTACTTTAATATTTCATATTATTGCTCTCTCTGTTTATATATATATAATGGTAAGAAATCTAAGTTGTGAAATGGTAATTTTATTTTGGAATAGCTATAGTTTTTCATTTTATCTTAAAAGTATCCCCAATCTATTACACAATGTTTTATTGCCTCTTGCATTACTGTTTTTATTTTTTTTTTTTTTGTCTAATTTATCTTCTATTCCTTGTTGCACCATTTAAAGAATATGGTCTCCAAGGTCTTTTTACACGCTAGACATTGACAGTATGTCTCAACAGCATTTCAAGACAGAGGATAGATTTTCTGTGACACTTTCTTCCTACTCTTTCCCATGACATAACCTAGGAGATTATTTTGACTACACACTTCATAAATAAATAAGACCTAGCTCATTTGAGACAGTAATTATACTTCTCCAATTTGTCTGCTTTGACTGTTACTTACCTTGGCATATTATTCCAACTTCAAATAAGGTTACTTCTTCATGTCCCTTATTACTTATCTAAATGTTATTGTTTTCTAGTGTTGGTCTATACATCTGCTTTTTTATTTTCCTGTGCTATTCCAGAGTGATTTCTGATAGTCTTATTTTTTTTTTTTTTTTGAGACAGAGTCTCACTTTGTTGTCCAGGCTAGAGTGAGTGCCGTGGCGTCAGCCTAGCTCACAGCAACCTCAAACTCCTGGGCTTGAGTGATCCTTCTGCCTCAGCCTCCCGAGTAGCTGGGACTACAGGCATGCGCCACCATGCCCGGCTAATTTTTTATATATATATCAGTTGGCCAATTAATTTCTTTCTATTTATAGTAGAGACGGGGTCTCGCTCTTGCTCAGGCTGGTTTTGAACTCCTGACCTTGAGCAATCCGCCCGCCTCGGCCTCCCAAGAGCTAGGATTACAGGCGTGAGCCACAGCGCCCGGCCTGATAGTCTTATTTTTAAATCCAAACTTCTATAAAAGGTGGTATGTGCATCTGACTGCTTCATTATTTGATTATGTCCCCAAACATTTATATATTGAAATACGTATTTGTAAAATATAAATTACTTTTAATTTCTTATTGACATATCAATTAGGACATTGTATTTATTTGCTTTTGGAAATTTTGTATACATACCATCTATGAATTTTAATTCTGATGGTAAAAGAGGCATTATAAAATACATGTGATTAAAAAGGGGAGGGTGCATCTGATAGGACTAAGACCTACTGTTCTATCACACAAAGAAAACATGCTAGCCTATATGTCCTTTCCTGCAATGCCCTGTTGTTAATCCACAGCCTGGATGTCTTGCTGCATACATGGATAGAATAGGTTTTCTGTCTAGGCACTGTTATTTGTCTTCTGGTGTCAAAGAGTGATGTTCTTCATTCATATCTTTCATTGCTCATTTTAATCTAGATATATCTTTTAGTTTTCCTCAACTTTGCAGCAGGAGGTTTAGCTTATCAATTCATGCATTTGAGGTTTTTAGCAGTGTTTACTTTTGCAGAAGACTATAAGATTTGCAGTATGGTAACTCTTTTGTTCTCTTATCAGTTACCAACAAATTTGTGCAGTGGTTTGTCCAGTGGTTTTTTAATCCAACCCCTTCCCCCCAAAAAAAACTTAATGTAGGATTTTTTTATCCACAGTATTATAGATAAGCTAAGTCTTGTCACATTCTACCTTCTGTAGAGCACTCATAACTAATGTACAATGAAATAGCATGATATTAATAGAAAAAGCAATAGAATAAAAATAAAATCTGGGTTCTTGATCCTTGCCATCATTTATTCCTTGAGAAAGTTGTGCAGCTTCTGTGAGTCTTGATCTTCTCACCTACAGGTAGGAATATCTGTCCTGCCTATCTGCCAGGGTGATTGTTAGGATCAAACAATACAATGGCAGCTAGAGAAATGCAAAAATTCTAAAATGTCTCATACTAGCTGTTAGGTCTTACCATCTGGAAAAAATTTGGTCATTAAATCAATCTTGTAGACGGCTTCAGATTACTTTTTTGTCATCTTCATCAGAGTTAAAGCAATTCTGCGTAAAGGGTGAGTTGGAAGGGGACTTATAGTTGGCCATTTGGTTGGCTATTGAGGTGGAGTGGAGATGGCAGCCTCAAGGCACTGGAAATGAAAATGGGGAAGATAGCTCTCAGAAGCATCAGCAGGACTTGGAAACCATCTGGACTTGGGTGAGGGAAAGGAAAGAATATTGGACCTGAGCGACTGGGAGGTTGGTCGTCAAGAGACAGATCAGTTATGAAGGAGGGAAAGGCTGTGCTTCCCATCAAGGCTGGCCACGTTTGGGCTGCTGCTGCTACACCCAGATGGAGATGTCCAAAGGCAGCTTGGAATGTAGGCCTGAAGCTTGAAGAGACAGTTAGAGATTGGACCAGGGAACACTTCTTCAGTGAGATCATCTTCAGTAAAATTAAACAGTGAGAATGAAACAAGATGGGGACTGAGTATGGAGCTTCATAGAATGAATGTCTGCATTCAATAGCCTGCCGGGCAAGAGGAGCCAACGAAGGCTCTTCCAACCCTGAGTCCCAGAGTCTGTGACAGTTCTGTTCTATAGAGAAAGGGGCATGGGAAATGAACACTTACTGCTCTTATCAGTTTATATATTATTAATAAAAAAGAGGTCCTTGATAATCTGATAAACCACCAAGTGAAGATTAAATCTTCCAAAGATACATAAACTAAAAATGAAAAACAAACAAAAAACTGAACAGGAATTTACATTTTGTTAAATAGCCTATAGCCAAGTTTAAAAATGGAATGTATGTTTTTCAAATTAATACTATTGCAGACATGCTGTATTCTTACTGAAAGACTAGTTTACATAAAATAAAACTTTAATACTATTGATTCATACTGATTTTCTTCTTTTCTTCCCTTTTTCTTCTAGATTTTACATTGTGCTATAGGTAAGTGTGGATTTTTTTCTCTACTATGTACAGTGGATTCTCTACTGTTCTCTACTATGTACAGTGGATTCTTTTTTTTAAGTCATAAATAATAGGCTTGATTTGATGCCTATTAAATATTGAAAAAAACTAAACCATTTAATCATTATATATAAAAATGTTCAAATTGGAATGGCTTTTGGTTTCTGAAATCATAGGTGCTATTTAGGTATTATCACTGAGTACTTTATTAAATATCCCAGCTATTTTGTCCTGTCAGTTTAAAAGAAGTGTCTCCCACCTTCTTGTACAAGGGTGATAGAGAAACACTAGCACGTTTATGAAACTGTGGCTGGAGGCCTGGTGCTGGGCTGCGTTGGAGAGCCCTCTCTGTGATCACTGGAACACTATATTCTCTCTCAAAGATGAGGAGACTTATACTTAAGGAGGACACACAGGTGGAGACATAACCATTGGGAGTCTTAGAGAGATCACTTTGTTACCTGGCTCTGTTATATTTAAGGAAGACAAAGCATCTTTATTATCAAGAGTTGCACCTCTGCTATTTTCCCACTTGGGTCATGGGTAGACTTTAGGGACCCCTCAAATGATTTGCAGACTTTTATATGCATGTTTCTATGTTTATTTTGGGGGTAGAGAGAAAATTCACAGTTTTCATTAGATTCTCAGAGGAGTTTGTGATCCCAAAATGGATAAGAAATGCTGCTTTATAACTTTTGAACAGTAGGTTTGAAAGGGGCTTGAGGACTGACCTGTCATGTCCTGGGCAAGGTTCAGTGACCTTGCCCAGGTCACACAGTCATAAATGGTGGAACTTCATTTGGAGCCAGGTCAGTGACACCAGGGCCTGGCTATCTGGTTTTATTTTGTGATTACTGGGTTTTAACGTTTGTGTAGTCTTACACATATTTCCTTTCTACTTCTTTACAATTTTGAGTTGAAAAATTGTGTCATAAATGGTTAAATAAGTTTTAAGCATAAGCTATCAGATTTAGGGATGTCTTTGGCCACAGAACGTTCTGGAACCACTCAGGCCTTCTCCATGTGGTTGAGCCTGTGCCTCATTCTCCCTCACTCCTAACCTTGTGCTGTTTCTGTATAAAGCTCTTAGATGCCTGTTTTTAAGTATCTTAGTCAGTTCAGACTGCTATAACAAAATACCATAGACTGGATAGTTTGTAAACAACAAACATTTCTTTCTTACAGTTCTGGAGGCTAGAAATTCCAAGATCAAGATGTATGTGGTGAGGGCCTGTTCCTCATAGATGGCACCTTCTCACTGTGTCCTCATATGGTGGAAGGGGCAGACAAGCCCCCCCTGGGCCTCTTTTACAAGAGCACTAATCGCATTCATGAGAACCCTCAGGACCTAAACCTAAAGGCCCTACGACTTAATGCTATTGCTCTGGAGATTAGCTTTCAACATACGAATTTGGGAGGAGATACAGACATTTAGACCATAGCACTAAACGTGTATACTATGATTTTAATTAATATTTAATTATATATTAATACCCCAAATACTTCTTTATAAGATCTCTATCCCAGGAAATAAAGTTTCTGACAAGTATACTTTTTCATTCACACCAAAAAAATTACTGACTGCCCAGCAGGCATGGATGCCACACATTGTGGTGGGCAGTGGGAACAGAGGTGAGCAGGCCCAGGCTCAGGTTCAGGAGACCCCGGTCAGATGGGTACCCCTGTGAGCTCCTCTGGCAGAACGCACCTTGAGGACTAGTGTCCATGTCACACTCTGCTTGGAGGGGTTGTCAGCGGGTTTTTTCCCTCATCAGACTGTGAGCCCCTTGAGGGCCGACTCTTATATTTATCTCTGCATCCCTGAGGCCTAGCCTGTGCCTGACACACAGTAGATAATTTAAAATTTCTTATTTCCTCAAGGACCTTGTTCTGTCAGTGATTGTTTCTCTCCTGCATCATCACCCGTTGCTATCTATCTTTTCCTTTTCAGCTCACAGAATGCTCAGAATGCTCCATCTTAAAAATAATTTTTTTATTTTTTGAGATAGGGCCTTGCTCTGTCACCCAAACTGGAGTGCAGTGGTGTGATCATTGCTCACAGCAACTTCAAACTCCTGGGGTCAAGGGATTCTCTTGCCTCAGCCTCCCCAGTAGCTGGGACTACAGGTGACCACTCCCAAACCCAGCTAATTTTTTAAATTTTTTTTGTAGAGATGGAGTCTCACTATGTTGCTCAGGCTAGTCTCAAACTCCTGACTTCATGCAATCTTCCCACCTCCGCCTTCCAAAGCACTAGGATTATAGGTGTGAGCCACTGTGCCCAGCCTCTTAACAATAATTTTTAACTTAACCCTTGACCCTGCATTCCCCTGTTACTACTATATTATTCCTCTCCATCCCTTTTTACCAGATTTGTGGTAGACTCTTTCTACTTCTTCACTCTCTGTTGTACCTTAACCTAGCAGATGAGCTTCTGTCCCCCTTGTCCTACAAAAATTACCCGCTGGTCTAAAATCAGTAGCAGCTTCTGCTAAATTCTGAGGACATATATGGAATTGACTGGATTTCTCAGCTACATTGGGTACCTCTGATGACTCCCTCCTTGAGAGCCTGCTCCTTTAGCTTTCACTGTAGCAAGCTCTCCTGGTTTTTCTTGTCCTCTGTGGTTCTTTTCTTTCTTCTTTGGGTGCTTCTCTTTCTCTCCTTGCCCCCTAATTGTGGGTGTTCCCAGGGTTCTGTCTTAGCTCATTGTTCTTCTGACTGAACACGCCCTTTGTGAGTGATCTCTTCCCTTCCATGGTATGAGATGGGCATGACACCCACTTTTCTAATTCCAAGCCATGCCTGCACCCTAGACTCCACCTTGTTCATTGGGTTCCTGGATATCCACTTCTGGTTACACTCAGGACCTCCTCGGCCTGACCCAGACTCCCAAACTTGTTCTGCCTCCATATTCTCTTTGTCAGGGATGCCACCAGTCATTTAGCCACCCATCCTAGACCCAGAGCTCATTGATGGTGACTCTTTCTCCCTTAACCATATCCCTATAGCCAGACAATCAAGTTTTGTTGGTTCCATTTCCTAAATATTTCTCAGATTCATCCCTGTTCAGGACCTCAATATATCTCATCTGGACTCCCATGTGGGTCTTCCTGAACTTCTAGGGCTATAATAAAAATATTAGTAATAAGAACCACTATTTCTTGAGTATTTAGCGTGTCCCAGTGCTTTACATTCATCATCTCCTTTACTTCACATTTTACAGCTGACAAGCCTGAGGCTAATAAAGGTTTAGCTAAAAAGGCTAAAAAGGACCCTTCCCACCTCTCCAGTCATACTGTGTCCATTCCCTGCCTCTCACCCATGCTTCAGCAACCCTGACCTTCTTGCAAGTCCCTCCACGTCCCACGTGACCGCACCCTTGTGTCTGCGCTGTGCCCGACCTTTGCTCTCTGCGTGGAGTGAATAGGCGGCCCATTTACCCATCTAACTCTTAGCTGGTCTTCCTCCAATAAACTTCCCAGCTACCCACCAGCTAGATTAGGTACCGTTCCTCACTTTTTTCTGTAATACCCTACACTTCGCTCTATTGTTAACACTTTCCACATTATGTGTGTGGTTTTGCGCTGTACCCGTATCCCCACCAGTGTCACTGAACATTTTGAGAGTGAGAACTGTTTCTTACTGATCTCTCTATCCCAGCACCTAACAGTAACTACATAGCACCAAGTGAGAGCTTGGTGAACATGGGATCATAATCTTACCAAATTCTGGCAGAAATTTCTAAAACTTGTTCAAAGTGTTTTCAGTTCCTTAAAAGAATTAATGATAATAATAAATACACTGTTTCTAACATTAGCCTAAAAGCAGTGCTTCATTTCTTAACTTATACAACTTAAGTTTATTTTTAGAATGATGGTTTATTTTCTTGTAGCATTCTGACCATTTTTTACTATCACAACTTAGTCTTTGAGAAACTTATTCTAGAGCCTTGAGATATCTTTAGTTTATGTACTATTGATGAAAAGTATGGACCACAGTCAGACCTGGGTTACTTACTAGCTATATGACTTCTGTGTGACTTAACTTTTGTGCACCTTTTACTTTTTTCATCAGTAAAAAGGGGATAATAATACCAACCTCATAGGGTTCTTATGAAAATTAAGTGGAACAATGTATGAAAAACACTTAGCACAATGTCTGAAACATGGCTATGTTGAAAATTGCCAAGTAAAATGGTAGCTGTTATTATTAACTAAAGCAATATCGTGTCGTAGAGTGTTAAAACTTTATTCTGCCTCTAATGTAACGTTCAATATTTAGATCTGTATAGATGTAACTCTTTTGTGTTTTTTTTTAAATTATAGTTCCTTTGTAAGTGAGCACTTCAGGGCCATTTATTCTTAGTATGGGTTGGAGTTGCATTGTGTTCATAGTTGTGACGATGCAACTTGGCAAAAATGGCCTCCAGAAACAAGAAACTCAAATTCCACATGAGGGCCTCATTTCTGTGAGGAAGTCAAGCCTGTGTCCTTGTAAATGAGTTCCTATGTCTCAACTTTTTCAAAGTAGGTTGGTTGTTCTCCATTGATAATCCAGGGACAGGATTTTTCAAATGCTGTGGTTGCAGCCCTCAACCTAAGATTTGTAGTGCTTTGTATGTACTTGGTGTTTTGCCTTTTAGAAATGAGAATTTTTTTAAAACACCAAAACCCAATTTGAAATATGTTTTTCACCAGACTACAAAGAAGAGTTGTGATTTCTTTATTCACATGGCATGGTTTGTATTGAAAGATGTATTGTCATTTCTCTGCGTTGTCTTCAAGATTAGATTGGGCAAGAAGCATGGGGGATATGAGAAATGCTAAGCAGCTCTGCAAGGTCTTTCCTCTCCTTCATTAGGGTAGAAATTAGAGGTAGAGAGACGTGAGCTGAAGATATTCTTGGTAAAATGTGACATTGTGCATTTGAGGAACATTTCACGTCGTAAATTATACTGCCAATATAAATAACTTTGG